GGCGCGGACCCGCCCCCAAGTTTTTTGTACATATCTCATATATAGAGTCGTTTCCTTCAGGCATTTCCATATACAGTTCAAAAATGAAAGTAATCGGATAATAAGGTTATGTTGAAAATCACTAAAAGTGCGTTAACTGACTAACAAAAAACGTCAGAAACACTAAATTTTACCTAAGAAATGGTAGAAGGAAGCTGCACCCAGGCCTTTTTTTTAAATTGAAAATGGGCGTGGCGCCGCCCACTTATGGACCAAAAACCATATCTCGACCGATTTCAATGAAATTCGGTATATGTGACCTGGTCTACGAAAAGGGAGCTAACGTGCGAAAACTAGTTTTCTATCACGTGAAAAAGCATCTCATCTTCCATCCGAATCAAACTAAAAAGTGAAAATTGATTTTTTGACACCTATCCCCTTTCCTTAGACCAGTCACATATAATATTTTCTTAACACCCTGATGACATGTACGAAATATGGGTGAAATCGGTTCACAACCAGGCTTCCTCCAATATAACGCTATTTTGAATTCCATCTGATGCCTTCTCTGTATAATATATACATTAGGAACCAATGATGATAGCGGAATAAAACTTTACACAAATACGGTATTTGAGCTGAGGTATCCCTTGTGGAAAAATTGTCGTGATCGGACTATAACTTTTCAAGGCCCCTGATATCGAACACGAAGAACTAAGTGCCTAACATAACCTAATTTTTCACCGAAAATATCGGTAAATACCTCAGATATTTTCATGTAATTCACAGGGCATAATTTTTATACTCTCGCAATAAAGTTGCTAATAACGGTATATATCGTCAGATATATGGTTACATATACCAAAGTCATCAGGGTGACGAGTAGAGTTGAAATCATGATGTCTGTCTGTCCGTCCGTCCGTGCAAGCTGTAACTTGAGTAAAAATTTAGTTATCTTGATGAAACTTGTCATGCGAGAATATAAAATGTTCGGTGACACCCGAACTTATTCCTTCCTTACTTGTTTATACTATTATAATGTTAATAATATTTACCAAAAATAAGACAATTAAAAAAACTGTCCATATTTCATATTTTGTCGGAGCCTCAATCTAACGGTAGGGGTGTTATAGCAAAACCCTTTTATATAATATAAAAACAATATAAATTCATAATTAGCACTTCTTAAATTGCACTTCCTGCTTACACCTGAACCTGCATTTCCGGCAGGGAACCTGTATTAACCAACCAACTGACCAAATATGCAATGTAGGCATAGTATTTGGTATTATATAATACTTACTAGAATTAAGCAATCGAGTTTAAACATTCGAAGAAGAATGTAAGTAAGTTTAAGGAATATAATAAGTTTATTTTTAAATAAAAAAATAAAATTATTTCAATAAAAAAAAAATAAAGATATATATTTTAGATAGATTGTAAAAAAATCAGTCATAAGTGAAAAAACATAATTGTTTTAATACAAATTGTTATAGCAATCTTAACACTACTCTGAGCATTCATTAAATGGATCCTGGTTTAAAAACTTAGCTTCTAAATCAGTGACCTTTTATAACCGTTGTAGAATAAGACTTGTGTTAAGAGAGACAATTCTACTGCAAACATCTCTTCCTGCTTCGCTTTCATGTTGGTTATTGTTTCCATCTACTATCACACAAATTATGAATGAATGAGAATCTTCAAAATATTCGATGACATATCGAATGATGAAATCTTTAAACTGTTATATTTGCTACAATCTAAAAAGGAGTTCACCTGTATACTATAATTTATGTAAGTAATTAATTTCGTTACCTCAACTTATGGAAACTTTTGGTTGAATGATGCTTCTAAACAGGTTATGACACCAATTTGTACATGACATTCAAATAACACTTCCACTTCCCAGCATCCTGAAATGCATCGCGTTGATGCTTTTAAGCTGTTTGGTTTACTTTGGATATTAGCATGCGGGTACAAATGCATACACATATACATATCTAAATATACAAGCAGGAAAAGGTGTGGCAGTGAATGCAAAGGAAATGCAAATAAAACGTGAGCATTTAACTAACATATGTACATATATTTAAGTGAGGAAAGCATTTTAATCTATCTATATAAAATTTATTATACATACAGTGGTTTCACAGAGAGTTTTGCGGAATCTCCAATATTAATAAATGTTTACATTGATGTTATTACAAATGTATGTACGTTCACATTACTACACATGATTTGTGTTTTCTACTATTACTCATCTAAACTTGCTTTTTTTTAATAATTGTGTTTGAAAGAGTTTAATCTAGCTTAACGGTGCATTTTGGAAAGCAGGCATACATTGGGCTCCTCTAAATAAATGAAAAGTACTTGTAACGATTAATTGAAATTTTAAATTTCGTTAAATACCATTTTAGAGCATTGAAGTGTCTCATTAGTTGCTTCTGTAAAAGCTCTTCTTAGGCGTAATTTTCGGCTCTCAGACAATGTTCGGGGCATTAGAAGAACACCCTAGAGAAAAATTTTTGGTGAAACTTATGTATCTACTAATTATGTTTATATTAAATTCACATACATATGTATATGGTAAGGTTATGCGTAGTACTGTTATGTCTATAAAAAAGAAAAAACTGTAAATATAATAATCTCATTAAACTTTAATATAAATATATGAATGAATGTTTCTATTTCCAGCATTCCTCATATGAGTTTTATTTGGATGTTAAGGAATTACCTCATAAATACCAAGTTGTATATACTTTTCAAATTTTTAACAAACAAAGCGCTTGTCATATATGCATCAAAGTTTGTGGGTTGCCTTAATATGCTTTACTACATAGCAGAGTATTATAGACGGGTGAATGTTTTTTTTTTTTTTCGTTTGCTTCTCTGAAAAACTTTGTTGGTAGACACCTATAAGGAAGACTCTCCGAATATGAGCTCTTAATGGTACCGGGAAGGTCCCCCTAATGGTTTAAATTTTTTTTTTGGCAGATAGAAGAATTTGTATCTCGCTATCCCCACTTGAAAAATATTTGGTTTTGAGGATCCTTTAACGAAAAAAATTATTAAAACTTTGAAAGCTCCTAGTTTTATAGGAAATTTTCTCATAAACGTTTAACCTAAACGGGAAATTATGTAGACCATTTTTGTAGAACAGAAAATTTCCTAAAAGACTGTGACCGTTTAAAATGAGTTTTTTTCATTGAAAGATAAAATTCAAAAGAAAAAACAAATATGTCTTAAAATAGTCAAAATTCAACCTTTCAAATGGCTAAGTTTTCGATAAAACCTGAGGAGACCATTTTCTAGAGCATTCAATTTGGTATAAAATCTAGGAAATAAAATACTTTTCAAGTAGTTGGATGCGAGATCCCCTCAAAACGAATAAGGCTCTGTAAACTGACGCTGAGCAATACCTAAAGCTCCGTTAGGATCAGGAAGGAACTCTGCGTTCCTCCAGGTTGGACAAGGAAGCGATGCAAATGGCGAGGGAAAGACAAAATATCTCCTTTTATTAAATAAATAATCGTCACATTCGCGACTTGGCACTCGCGTCACTTTTGATAGTTATTACTTCGAAATTAAGTAATTTCGTCTGTCTCAGAACCAGCATTAACACTAACAACAAAAATAGCTTCAAAATCCAACACAAAATAATTATTGTCAACAGGTGCTACTATGCAGTACTGAGTAGGCAATTGAGAAGTAAAGTGCTCTCTCGATGAACAAAGACCAAACTCTACAAGTCACTCTTCATCCCCCCATGCATATGGTGCAGAGGCATAGGCGATGACAATAGCTGATTAGTAAGCGTTTCGAGTTTTCGAATGAAAGGTTCTGCGGACGATTCATGGTCCTTTGTGTATTGGCAAAGGCGAATACCGCAGTAAATAGAACGATGAGCTGTACGAGATATATTGACGATATTGACATAGTCCAACGAACTACGCTGACTAGGTCAAAAACGGATGAAAACGCTTCAGCTCTGAGAGTACTCGACGCAGTACCCGCCGGGGGAAACAGAGGAAGAGGAAGCCCTTCGCTCCGTCGGAAAAATCAGGTGGAGAAAGACCTGGCTACACTTGGAATCTCTAATTGGCGGCAAATAGCGAAAATGAAGAACAATTGGCGCGTTGTTGTAAACTCGGCTATAACCGCGTAAGCGATGTCTACGTCCATGAAGAAGAAATTTGAAGAATATTTGTATCGTGTAAGAAAAAAATTTAAAACCATAGGCGGAGCATCTTCCCATTACAATTAAGAGCTCATACTTGGGGAGTCTTTCTTAGAGCTGTCTATCAACCAATTGATAACTGATTGTGACCAAAGGACACACAGTAATATATATTGCAACGACAAATGATGAACTTTCAACAAAATATTGAATACAATATTGGCTTTGGCTTTAGGCTTATCTAAAAGTACAGAAATGCATAGTTGAAGAAAAGCGATGAAATGTAGAGAGTTAATTTCAGGGCGAAAATATGCCAGGAGAGAAGAATAAATTTGAAAGCAAACTAACTTACAAAAGTATAGTGTTTGTATAGAGTTTAAGGGCAGCTATGTTTGTATATGATAATTTCGATTTCGTTAATTGTAAATTTATTTTACATTTAAAATAATATACTTATACATATTTAGTAAGAAGAACAAAAATACATTCGAATTATGTAAATATATAAAATGTCATGGCACTTTTTACTTAAAAAGCACTGTTAGAATTGTTACTGATAGCATATAATATATTATTCCCTTATATCCTGTTTTAACCTTTTTATTGCATGAGTAGAGTTTAATGCGAACAAGGACATGCTTATATAATAAATTTTACAAAACATTTAAATATACCATATATGATTTTTATGTACATAAATACTCGTATATACAAAATATAAAATTGTAAATATGGACATGTATGGTAAATGAATTTTATTCTGAGCCTTTGAAACTATGAACCCCGCGTGCAGATGGATATAGACTTAGATCCGTACTTACATAAATACAGCTCGTTTGATTACCTGTTTGAATGGTCGCATGCCACCGTTAATGCGTAAGGAATCGGCAGCTATGCCTGCAATTCCATCGGTCGCACTATCTCGCAAAATCTTCAGTGACACGTTCGGAACTGTGTGCGAGTGTCCGCAAGAGCTATGTGCGCCACAACAAATGGCTGTGGTACTGGACTCGGGCTGAGAGCTTTGACGGATTATGCGTGATCCATTCGTAGGCGACGAAGTAACTAAAAGAGACGGTGGTGCGTGTTGTTGCATCGCCGAACTGGAAATCGACAGGTTACCCTGTTGAAAGGCACTTTTGACGCTGTCTTTCGATGTTGAGCGGTCCATGCCGGCACTAGCTGTAGTGGAGAGAGGCGTAGTTGATGCTCGTCGACTACAGTTACGGCAAGCGCGACAACGATTTTGAGCGCTTGTGGGAATACCACAAGAGAGGTTCTGATATGATGATGTTCCCAAATTTGGATTACTTTGCGGATTAACATACTCTTGTGTCTGATACGTATTCAAATTCGTTATTGATATGGTTGGTTGAGAAATTTGTTGCTGAAGTTGCGATCGTGAATTCGATTGTTGTACTGGTTGCTGTTTTAAATGGTTCGACTCCAATTTTTTGTGAGTCGCTTGTTGTTTATTTGGATTATCTTCATGTACTTCAATATCGGGTACTACTCCCGGTCGTAGTCCCTGTTCGATGTCATCATCTCCCCCAACACCGCGTACGCTTTCCTCTGATCCAAGACGAGTTTGTTGGGATAGCTGAGGACTCGTAAGATAAGTGGAAGTACGATCTTGGCGTATTAACGTTGGCTTGCCGGTCGAGGAAGAAGTCATGCTCGTCGATGTTGGTCCATTTACTGAGCTCATTTTTATATGTCGTAATACGGAGGATTTACATTTTGGCGTATTGGATACAAGCAGTGAATCAGTTTCTTCAGAGCTGACATAACCTGAATTTGTGCTTTCGGCTAGCTTTTGAATGGACATCTGAAAATTAACAAAAGCATAAAATATAATGAAATTTCAAACAAGGAGTTTAAGATTTTCCACAAGGGTTGACAAAATATATATAATTCATTTCGAACTTCTATTTGAGATTTAGACCTTCTTTAGTACAAGTAATTTGTACACCATACATATTGCTGTACCTTATGATCGATGTGTATTAAAAATTTTAATTTATTATTTTGAACGATTTAATCATTGCTATAATGGGAGCATTAAGCTTAAATTTACATCAATCTAAAATATATTACCATGTATACATATTATTTTAATAACAAAATATAAACACAAATCCAAAATATTCAAAAAACATGAACTAGCAAAATAACAAGCTTCTTTAAGAACAAACCTTTTATCGATATTTTTTATTGCACTTTCTTAGAGTATATTGTTTTTAGATTTTAGATCAGAACCAAAGTTACATCTGTCAACAGCGCGCTTCTCCCATATGCCCCCGAGTACATGCCAAAACTTTAAACACGATTATCTCAAAATTACATTTAATAAAAAGGACCGTTGCGGCGATCAAGGTTTCTTAAGAACCATGTTACCTATCGATCTAATTTTTTACTGGCTATTTGAAAATTACAATATCTCAAACTTGAACGATTTTTTATTCAAACAAGAAGTTTTTTTTTTTTTGGGAACGAAAAAACTGAATTCTTAGACCCACAAAAATCGATATTTTCAGTGAAATCATCACCACTTGCGTAAAAATGTTTATTTCGTCAAATCCTTCGTACAAGTGATGATATAAACTAAAGAAAACTTTTATTTTATTTGATTGCAGATGAACCATCACCTACTATGTATGTTATGCTGACCGCAAAGCGTGTAAGAAAAAAGTGTATCGGTACAACAGCTGTAGTACCAAAAAATGGGCACATTTCTCACTGAAAAATTAAATTTAACAACTTTAAACATATATAAAACCAATAAAACAAAATCCCTATCTATCTATCATTATGACTTGCAACCGTTGCTTTTGAAGATAATATAAATCTATAAGATTTTGAAAGAATTTTAATATCAAATAATATTTTTACTAGTTTTTATATTTTATGGGTCATATAATGATTTCAGTTTCTCGTATTATCATTACATTTAGGAATTACGCTAAACATTTTGTTTATATCTTGAATATTTTGTAACAATAAGACGGATTTTCGAAATTCTCTATAATTGAATATAAATTCGGACCCAAATATTGTTTTCCCTTCCAGAGAAAAGTGGGAAAGGAGTGAAGTGCACAAGGGCGCAGAGATACGTATCTAAACGTTTGGGTACAAACTAGAAAATCATGTGAAAGTTGGTATCTTTTCAGCAGAAGAAAATCTTCTTTTTTTGTCCAGTAGTATGCTCACAGCAAAGAATATATTTAAATATGGAGATAGCTAAGCCACTTTAAAATTACAAAAGTATTTTGGGTTTCGTCATAGTGATAGCCCAGGACATAGTGTTATCCCTTGTAACCGTGAGACAAATGAACTAGCCCGAACCAGCACTACTCTAAAATTACGCTCCGGAAAATAGGGAATTTAGAAATGAATGATTGTCCTTCATAAAATCATTAGGTATGTATTTAGTCATGTTATGGCCTTTTGTAAAGTTGTCATAAGCCAAAGAAAGTTTTTAAATTGTCTCCAAACATTAATTAAATATTTGCGCAATGTCTTTTCTTCAAACTGATTTTACTCGTTGTTGTAGAAACGTACATAGTACACAGCTAGAGTAGCATACATACAGTAAGTTAAGAGAAACGAATTTGGAGTTTGACCGTAGAGAAGCAGAAAAACCTTCTTGGCCGTCAATCCGTGTTAGGTAGTAATTGACTTGCTTTTCACCAGAGTTACTGCTTGGCTTTGATTTTGTTGTGATTTAGTAGCGATTTGCAGAAGGAAATTTCATACTTACCACTTTTTGCGTTCACTAATGTTACATCCTTTAGGAAATCAAAACAACATTGCGCGCGATGGACTTTTACAGTATCACGTCCATAAACACCATTCACATTTTCATTTTCGGCCTTATCAAAGAAAACCTGTTAAATGTGACATATTTTCTCTTTGCTGGTGTCCATCTTCGAAGCGTGTACAGACATTACTGAGTCAAACAATAAAAAACTGTCTGAAAGCTTTTCTAATATGAAATCTTATCTCTAGACCTATAATATAAGGTAGACCATTCATGTAGTAATTTTATCAGCAGAGGTCGCTGATTTTGTTGCCTATTTTTCGTATAATGATGTTGTTGACAGTTAAATTTAACGCAAAGTTTTCCATCCGATTGATTGATGGAAGAGTTTCTTCATTTCGCATGCGCACTTGTGCTTAGAAAGTATATACAGCATGAACTCTGTAAAACCAAATGGCAAAAATTTGGGTAGATAAGTATGTTTATTGAGGTTGTCGTCGGTGCAAATCAGGTAAGTGATTTCAATTTGTCCTTTGGTCACTCAAGAATTTCAAAAATAAGTATAATATTATATAGCTACAGTGTTTAACATAATTATCTTAAAAAACTTAAAATACTTTTGTTACAAATTCTTGGATACCCGAAGCGCAAATTGAAATCGTTGACTTGATTTGCTTAGTTAAAAATCTAGTTTGTCGATTACAATTTGTGTTCGTAAACACCTACTTTTTGAAAATCTGTTATTGTTTGACTGTAATCGAAATATTGCATTTGTCGAGTGTTGCTTTTACCGAAGACGTACTGTACACATGTGCATGCAATACATACTTGTATGTATATGTAGCTATATTGTTTCGCAAACAGGCATATATTTTAATGGCGGTCATAGCGTGAAAGAAACGTTTGCTTATACACAAATAATTTAATTTTAATTGCTTTATATGCATACACACTTCCATGCTTAGTATACATATATACACAACTTTCCTCTGACGATGCTCTCCGAATCCATATAAGCCTGCTCACATTTGCTTTCTATGCACCAGCTCTTAAGAGTACTTAGCAACATAGTCTACTCAAAGGCAATGGGGCTGAAAGTTTCGCGTTAATTAAAATTGAGGAAAAGTGACTTGGCGTATGTACATACACATATACATACATATGTATATTATATTTGTAAATGAATAAGAAAACGGCGTTAATGGGCTAAATACGTCATTTAGCATGATGATAATTCGCATTAGGAAGTATCCATATGTATATATGCGTGTGTGTATATAGAATACTATAAATATAATTTAATATGTCAGAAAAAAGGAGACCGTGAAAAGAGGATACACACACCATCTCTTCATCGATCGTGATGGATCTCTCCTAGCCGTTCTGTGCCAAACGAGGTTTCAGACAAGGCACCCTATCTTGCGACTTCGTCAATCTACTTGTGGAGAAAATAATTCGAGCTGCAGAGCTGAATCGAGAAGGCACAAGGTATACAGCTGCTATCGTACGCCAATGATATCGATTTCATTGGCCTCAATAACCGCGCCGTTATTTCTGTTTTCTCCAGCGAAGCAAATGGGTCTGGTAATGAACGAGAACAAAACGAAATATCTCTTGTCATCAACTATTGGCAGTCAAAACTTCGAAGTCGTAGATAATAACATAATAACTTTTTCCAGCAGGTGATGCTTCGGATTGAGTATGTAATTGAAAAGTAAAGTCCTCTCTCGACGAACAAAGACCAAACTCTACGAGTCACTCATCATTCCCGTCCTGACACCTTATGAGTTTGGGAGAAAGGTTCTGCAGAACGTACGACTAGCTGTCCGAATTATACGATGGCATTGACATAGTTCAGCAGACTAACAGACAACGGTTACACTGTCTAGATCATGTAATCCGGATGGACGAAAACACTCCCGCTCTGAAAGCATTCGACGCAGTACCCGCCAGGGGATGGATAGGAAGAGGAGAACTCTACTCCGTTAGAGAGATCAGGTGGAGAAGGACCTGGCTGCACTTGGTATCTCGAATCACCAAACAAACGATCGTGCTGTTGTTTACTGTAAGCGGCGTCTACGAAAGTAAGGAAGAAGTAGTTCAAGATTGTGAGACAACTGTCCATGTGTGTATGTCCATCTGTCCGTGCAAGCTGAAACTTGAATAAAAATTGAAATATCCTATTAAAACTTGGTATACATATTCTTCTTCTTGATTGACGTTGTCACCGCTTACGCGATTATAGCCGAGTTATCAACCGCGCGCCAGTCGTTTCTTCTTTTGGCTACGTGGCGCCAATTACATATTCCAAGTGAAGCCAGGTCCTTCTCCACTTGGTCCTTCCAACGGAGTGGAGATCTTCCTCTTCCTCTGCCTCCCCCGGCGGGTACCGCGTCGAATACTCTCAGAGCTGAAGTGTTTTCGTCCATACGGATAACATGACCTAGCCAGCGTAGCCGCTGTCTTTTAATTCACTGAACTATGTCAATGTCGTCGTATATCTCGTACAACTCATCGTTCCATCGGATACGATATTCGCCATGGCCAACGGGCTAAGGACCATAAATCCTTCTACAACATCTACATCTACAAAAGCTATGACTGTCAACAGTGACGTTAGTGCCGCGACTGCGACGTCTGTTTGTTTGATGACAGGAGATATTTCGTCTTGCCCTCGTCCACTGCCAGACCCATTTGTGTAGCTTCCTTGTCCAGTCTGGAGAAAGCAGAACTAACGGCGCGGGTGTTGAGGCCGATGATATCAATATCATCGGCATACGCCAGCAGCTGTACACTCTTATAGAAGATGGTACCTTCTCTATTTAGTTCTGAAGCTCGAACTATTTTCTCCAGAAGCAGGTTGAAAAAGTCGCACGATAAGGAATCACCTTGTCGGAGACTTCATTTGGTATCGAACGGCTCGGAGAGGTCCTTCCCGATTCTGACGCAGCTTTTGGTGCTGGTCGACGTCAGCTTACACAGCCGTATAAGTTTTGCGGGGATACCAAATTCAGACATCGYGGCATAAAGGCAGCTCCTTTTCGTGCTGCCGAAAGCAGCTTTGAAAT